CCGGCCGCCGAGCATCTGGGGCATGTCCGACCACCTCCATCCGCGCAGAGACTAGGGGCACGACCTGCAGGTAGATGTGGCGAGGGGTGTGTGGCGCCATTCCTGCGTGTCACGGTGCAAGTGTACAGCGTGCTCGATAGGCACACGGTGCATTCAACCATGACGCAGTGCCATGCAGCCCCTTCGCCTCGGCGGCAGCCGGCGCCGCGGCACTGTCTACGGCAGGTTTCCACACATTACGATGCAATGTGGTCGCCATTCTGGCTGGGCACCACGATTGGGGAACTGATTTGAGAGTGCAGGCGTGCGACCAGGCAGGTCCAGCTCTGCGGCGTCCTGGTAGCGACAACTTGGCCGAGGCCCGCCAGACCAACCTGCTTTTCCTGTGGGCCCGAAGCGCGGGCACGTTCGCCACTCCGAAGCGGGCCAGAGCAGCCGCGCTGGATTGAGCGGGCGGCGAGACATCGCGGACGGGGGAATTAATTACACGGGTGCATGCATATCTGGCAGCATGTATGGTCCAGCTTTGAGATACTCCCGTGCACTGCGGTAGCGGTCGGACGATAGCCACAGGCACGGCAAAGCGGCAGCACCAGCAAGCAGTACAGCCCAAGGGTGCAGGATCGGCTCCACCGACGGCGCAATCCCCATGCTGACGAGAAATTCATTAAGTTATTATGTGCGAGCTCATTCAACGGATCTGCATTGAGACCAAACACGTGTTTCCGGGAACACCGTGTGATGGGCCGCAAGAATTTCAGAGTCCCATTTGAGAGTTCTGGGGAGCCCCCATGCGTGAAGGATCACGAGCACCCCCACCTGAAATTTGCACAACGAGAAAGTTCTTGGTGCAAGCTGTGATTGGATGTGATCTGCAACATTGTTGACGCTTCTCGTATGCCCACCAGTCTCGAAGAGCGGCGGAACTGCGGGCCATGTGGATGAGGTGTCGGAGGCCTCTGCAGGGGGCCCCCGAGGCGGCCTACCCGCCTCGCAACGGGGACACCGAGGGGCACCAGTCGCTCCGTCTCCGACATTGAGCTCCGAGCCATTGGTGGTCGCCCACTCCTCGGGTAGCCCAGAGCAGGAAGGCAAGCCCTGCAGCCCAGCGTTGCCCGCCAGCGACCCGCGCGGCTCCGCCGCACTCGCCGGGCGGGATGACAGGAATCTCACGCGCCTGTTTGAGCGGAGTGCCCCGCGCTCCCCTAGCATACCAAGGGGGCCCCCGGCCGCCAGCATGGGGGGCGTGCGCGGCTGGAACGAAGGATGGTGCGAGCGCCGCCCGCGCCGCCACTGCGAGACCAGTCGCAGCAGTCCCTACGGCAGCCACTGGGCCGAATGGGCAGGGTGGTCCAGCTGAGGATCTGACGATCGTTGGAGCCAGCCTTCACGGACTCACGCCACCGAGCGCGACGACCTCCCCACCCCTCCGTCTGTTCCCTGGCCCTCTCACGTCAGTGCCCAAGCTGACGCCGCACCAGACCAGCATGATCACGGGAGTGCCCAGGTCGAGGGCCCACAAGACCTCCGCGACCCAGTGACAGGGCAGTACATCTACAACACCCCCCTCGAGAGAGTCGTCGTCCTGAGCCCCATCGGGGAGGCCCCCGGTGAGACCGTGAAAAGGCTCCAGAGGGAGCTGGGCGACAACTTCACTGGCTTATGGCACCAATGGACAGCCGCGCATCCCCCGCATACAGGCCGTGCCTGTACTGACCTTGCGCGCCAACCGCCTGAGTCTTGCTTACGTTTCCTCGACGAATGGTCCCACCACAGTTGCAACGTTTTCACGATGAACACTGCGCTCCAGCTTTGGGTCGAATGGGAGTCTGTCCGCGGTCGCATCCGCGACAGAGGTGGAATCACGGGCAACCCAGGCAAAGCTAAAGGCAAAGGGCCGCGCGAAGACAGCGACGCCCGGTGGACTAGGACTGCGGACCCCAGGAGGGCAATGGGCGCGCGCCAGCCCTGGGCACGCTCCTAGGCCTGGCGAAACCCGCTCCGATGTGCTCACACAGCCGCAATCCTGGGCGCCGCAACGTTACCTTTGGGCCCCTTGGGACCCACCCGTCCTGGCCATTGGGACTGCTTCTGTGCGCGCCTCTGCGTGCGCGCTATAATACCACCTTGGACGCGCCCAGCTGGGGCTGTTGGCCCGTCCCAGGGAGGAGGAGGAGGAGGAGGAGGAGGAGGAGGAGGAGGAGGAGGAGGAGGAGGAGGAGGAGGAGGAGGAGGAGGAGGAGGAGGAGGAGGAGGAGGAGGACGGGGAGGGTCCTTCTTTCCTGACCCTCGGTCCTCCGTCATCCCTACTTCCTCCTTCGTCCCCTCGAGGCCTTGCCTCCTTCAGCAGTCGACGTCGTTTCTCGTTTGGTGGCAGTGCGGTGTGGCACGGCCCCCGAGTGCTATGATGCTATGATGAAGCGTTGACGGACGGTATCGCGCAGGCTTGGTTTGGTCGGTCGAGATTGATCCAGTGGCGCTTCCGCGCATATCTGCCACCGCGCTTTTGGAACCGACGTAGCGAGGCAGCAGCGGGGCGAGGCAGGCAAGGCAGCTGCGGGCCAGAGTCTCCCACACTTTCCTGCAGAGCTCCCTGGCGGCCCCAGAGGGCGCCAACATGGCCCCAGAGAGTTCCCGCAGGCGCTCGAGACCTGCGCGGAAAGTCCAAGAGGGCTCAAGAATTCTTAGAGGCCTCCTAAATGGGGTCCGAGTAGATGGGGTCGAAGGATCGCGCCGCATCGCCAATGCATCGACGATGTATCGGCGATGCATCGGCGATGCATTGGCGATGCATCGGCGACGTTGGCGATGCATCGGCGACGTGGGTGTTGGGAAACACTGGCTCCACATCGAGCCGAATCGTCGATACATTGGCGATGCGGCGCGATCCTCTGACCCCATCTACTCGGACCCCATCTAGGAGGACTAGAATTCTCGACGGGTTTCCCGTCAGGCTCCGAACAATTCTGTACAATGCTCGCAAGAGTCTTCAAAGAGCCGACGAGAGCCCCCAGAGCCCTCGACGGCCCACAAGGACCATCGTACCCCTCAGGCGGCAGACTTGGTCGACTTCCCAGCACGGCAGACCACTTTGTCAGGCCATCATCATGAATTGTCTTTGAGAGGGTCTCCAAGCCAACGTCGACGTGGAATCGATTTCGGGTTCCAAAAGAGGACCCCACGAGCGCCCGGAGGGACCTCCAGGAACCTCCCAGAGCGGGCCCACGGGCTCCTTCGGTCCGAGGACCTCCAACAACTCCCCAAGAAGCGCTCATAAGCCTCCTCCTCCGCCTCCGCCTCCTCCTCCGCCTCCGCCTCCGCCTCCGCGTCCTCCTCCTCCTCCTCCTCCTCCTCCTCCTTCTCCCACTCCTCCTCCTCCGCCTCCTCCTCCTCCTTCGCCTCCTCCTCCTCCTCCTGCGAAGAAGAACTCCGACCCTGCGACCATGGAGGCCCGAGCTGGGCCGAGGGACCGCGAAAATGTCCACGGGAGCCTCTACATAAATATCGGCAGCGCGATGAGACGGCGGCACATGAAGTCGATGGGCCTGTGGAGGAGGTGGAAGAGGAGGAGGAGGACGAGGAGGAGGTGGAGGAGGAGGAGGAAGAGGAGGAGGAGGAAGAATAGGAGGATGAGGAGGAGGAGGAGGAGGAGGGGGAGGAGGAGGAGGAGGAGGAGGAGGAGGAGGAGGAGGAGGAGGACCCCCTCCCCTTCCTACTTATGGTGGTGGTGGTGGTGGTGGTGGTGGTGGAAAACAAGCCCACCAGAAGTCATTCATTGCCGCGTTCTCGTGGGTCGTAGCAGCAGGGGAATTGTGGGGTGCTTTCACTGTGCCGGGGTTCTCGCACGAAGTCACGCTAAGGAGAAGCAGTCGGTCGCGCAGCTGCTGTGCGCTCGCGCACCCCATGGATATGAATAGGGCTTGTGAGAGCGTGTCCAATTGCCGTACGCCTCAAGACGGCTGAAGATGTAACATCAAGGAACAACAATGTGTTGCAGCACTTACGTTCAGAACTAAGCTTTTTGGAGGCATCTTATCTTGGAGGCAGTTTGTTGGGTCTCTTCGGGGGCGTCTTGGAGGCATTCTACAGGCCTCTCGGGGGCGCCTTGGAGAGAGTTTTTGGCCTTCTGGGGGCTTCCCGGGGGCCTGTTGAGGGCCTCTTGGAGGCCTCTTGGGGCCTTTTGGGGCAACCTGGGGGCCTCTCGAGGGCCTCTTGGGGGCCTCCTCGAGGCGTCTCGGAGCCGGAGGCTCGACATTTGATGTTTGCTCCCCCTCTCTGGGCCCTCTATCGGGCTCGTCTGGGCGGCCCTCTTGGGCCGTTTTGGGCGCCTCCTGGGCCTTCGGGGCCCTCCTGGAGCGTCTTGGGGGCGCCTTCTGGGCCCGTTGTGGCCATGGGGACGAGAGGGCGGGCGGGCGAGCGCCTGGGACAGGGGATGATCCACGGAACCTCTTTGCCCACACCTCGAATTCGGGTACCCTGGATCGCTTAATGATCGCCCCCCCCTCGGAGTGCCCGGGGGGGTTGGCCGCGGCGCGTCCGCGGGGGTGCCAGGGGGGGGTCTGGGGTTCGATCCCTTCCTGCTGGGGCGCGGGGGTGGTGCCGGGGGGGGGGGGGGTTGACCGCGCCGCGTTTTCACGTTTGTCCCCCCCCGGTTGATTGATAAGAAGTTCGGAGTACGTTTTTTTTGGCCAGGGAGGCCAACAGCGCATGGACTTGGTGTCACGAACGAGCGCATCTTGGGCTCGATGCGTCAGGGGGCCCTAATGGTTGCTCCGCAAGAAGCGAAAGGGCCCGACGCACACACACACACACGCTTACCGCTGCGAGCGCGGTGGCGGATACTTTCGCAGGGGTGGGGGCGAACAGGTGGATGGTGGCGGCAGCAGGGGCGATTGTGATCTGGCATATTCAGCAGCACCGTGCGATGTTAATCATTGGCGCATTCATCGATCGCGGGTTAACATTTGGGTCGGAAGAGGAGGCCGCGCGATGGTCGGGAGGCTCTGTCACCACTTCACGAACCAGGGCTGGTGCCGCAAAGAGGAGGCGCTCCCGTGCTGGCCCTGGGTGGGCAAACGGGTGCCCATCTTTGTCCTCCATTCCCTCCTCCCTCATCCATTTACCCTTTTTTCTTTCCTTCTCCATCCCAATCCTCCGCTCCACTCAGTTCTGGAACATCAGTCAAACAACTATTGCTGCCCCCATCACTTGCCCAATCAAGTTCAGCCCTCGGCATTTCAACAGGGTAACACCAAACTCCAACCCCTCCTCCCACGCCTCCCTCACTCCCCCCCCTCCTCGCCCTCCTCCTCCCCTCCTCCCCCTCCTCCTCCGCCTCCTCCTCCTTCTCCTCCCCCGCCTCCTCCTCCTCCCCCGCCTCCTCTAGTTCCTCTAGTTCCTAACCTGAGGCGGACCGCTGTGCAGTCCCGCCTAATTACACCCTCAAACAGGGATCACCGCCCGTGAGGACAGCCCTCGGCCCGCCAGGAAAGAGAGAGCCTGGCATGAGCGGGGTCCCAAGAGCCATGCGCAGCCGCCATAATGGCTCCGCGAGCCCAGACAATGCTTGCAACTGCGAGGCGCCCCCTCACGCAGACCCCGAGGCGCGATTGCCTTCGCTCATCGCGCTGGCCACGCGGGCCTTGGGGTCCGCACGCGCAGCGGGCACCGTGGCAGCCCGCGAGACGGGAAAGAGGGGCGCCCCAGAAAGCCCGTTCTGGGGCTACCGACCAGCTCTTAGGCGATCCAGGGCCTTCGAGCCAGCCTGGCCGCGTCGCGGCTCTTCCTGGCCAGGGGAACACACAACTCGGTGAGGAGGTGCGCCTGCCTACGCCCGTAGGCAGCACACGTCCTACAGAAAACCAGCGTGTCGCCACCCGTCCCAAAGGGCCTGCTCACAAGAGACCCATCCCCACCACGAGCCACCCAGAGCCTGTGGGACGGGTGGGACCTGGCGACCAGCCACGGGAAACCTGGACAAGTGCAGGAAACGACCCTGGCCCTGGTAGCCCTGCGGATCCCGCAGGTCGAGCCACCCCAGGCACGCCCCAGCCTGGCCAGGACGTGTCCCCTGTCGGCCCCACCAGGGCCAGGGTCCCAGGGTCCGAACTCCTGGGCCCAGGCAGAGCTCCACGATCGGGCCACCCGAGGTCGGCAAGCCTTTTCAGGATCCCCCCGTGGTGGCCGCACCAGGCCTCGGCCTGCAAAACGGCGGCGCCGAAGCGGCGGCTCAGCTCAAGGCGCCGCTCCTGCTGGGGGTGGGGCCTCGCGCCGTCCTTCGCCCTCTCGTCGGCCTCCTTGTTGCCGGCGAAGGCTTGCCAGGGCGCTCCTGCAGCGCTGGCCCTTGCCCACGAGGCGTGCGACGGCAGCCACCGCAGCGTGAGGAAACCAGGGCCCAGGTCGTCGAGCAGCGTCCAGATCCGCTTCCGCTGGTCCGCGTACTTGTGACCTGGGCCGCAGCAGTAGTCGCGGCCCGCCTCGAAGTCGTCCTTGATCCCCTTGCAGTCGGTGTAGACCGTGATGGGCGATGGGCCGACCTCCTCCAGCGCCCGACGCAGCGCGCAGAGCTCCGCGTGGCCGATCTCTTGGATCCAGCCTGGCGTGAGCCCGTAGAGGCCGCCCCGAGCGTTCCCAACACCGCCAACCACCACTGCCGCCCAGCCCGTGCGCGTCAGGCTCGGGATCTCGGGGTACAGCGCGGGCCCGTCGATGCAGATGGCGCCGTCGAGGTAGCCCTGCCGCGCGCAACCTGCACGGTGGCAGAGCTCGCCCGCTCCAGGGGGGGGGGGGGCTTGGTCCAGCCCAAGGTTGAGGAGGCTCCTTACCAGGCCCAGGTCGTCCTGTGGCGCCCTTCTGCCAGCGTCGGCGACCTCCTGGAAGCCCATGTCGCGCGCCCATCAGGCGATGGCGGGGCGCGCGAAGAGCCTGTGATGTGCCGTGCCTGGTGCTTCTCCGCACCACTGGCACAGCGGGCTGAGCTCCACCCTCTCGTAGTGCAGGTCGGACTGCGTGACGGGCCCGCCCGCCATGTGCGCCTCCAACAGCGCGGCCTCCTGCGACTTGCCCGTGCGCCGCAAGCCCGCCAGGGCCTTCCTGAAACAAAAAGGCTCCAGGTCGGGCGGGCGGCCCTGGAGGTGCTCGGAGCCGACGTGGCTCGCGATCTTCAGCATGAGGTAGCGAGGGGCCCCTCTCTCGACCAGGATGGTCACCATCCGCGGGCTGAGCAGCTGCAGATCACGAGTCTGCCCTCGGTAGTCCCTCCAGCGATGCCAGTCCAGCAGCTCCCATCCGATGCGCTCCAGCGAGAGGCAGACCGCCCCCGCTGGTCCAGTGACCTCACCCCAGTCTCCTGGTCTGCGCCTCAGCACCTGCTCGCAGACCGCGGGTGGCCGCACGCGCAGGAGGACCGCTCGAGCCCACGCCCTCAGCGGGAGGGCGTGCGCCGCGTAGGCTGGGTCGTGCTTCCAGTCCTTGCCCTCCTGGAAGGCGAAAAGCACGGTCCTGGACTTCTGGCCGAGCTCGCCCGAGATGGCCCTGCCGTTGACCGCGCGGGCGCGCTGCAGGGTCTTCGTGGGCACACCGCTGACCCTCGCTCCATGGAGTATGGACGCCAACCCGCCTGTCCTGAAGACATCGGAGAGCCGCTTGGCCCCCGTCTTGCGCAGGGCCATGTGCCGCCCCGCCCTCTGGCCCAGGCGGCTGATCCTCTGGCGTGGCACCTTCCATGAAGCCGACCTCGCCGTGGTGAAATCCACCACCAAGTTCTTCGTGGCCTTCGCATGCGCGAACTTCCAACGTCTGAGCCTGTGGACAGCCCGCCTGGCGATCTCGGAGTCGGCGCACAGGACTTGGCCCTTCGTCAAGGAGATGGTGAAGCCGATGGCCTCAAGGGCCAAACACAGGGCGCGGGTGGCCCCGACCAAGATATGCTCCAGCTGCGCGCGCATGGCGTAGACCACCAGCGTGGTGTCGTCGACCACCAGATATGGGCGCACCATCTGCCAGGACGCGATCGTCGCGCCCAACGGCTCGGCCAACACCACTCGAAGCAGCGTCGTGGCGAAGGAGCAGCCTGCCAGCAACGACAGGACCACCTGGAAGGCCTCCGTCTTCCAGTGGTCCAAGCATAGTCGCCTCCTGCCTCCGTAGAGGCGGAGGAGGATCTTGATCCTCCGAAGCGGGAAGCCTTCCCTCGCGGCGGCGTGGACCAACACTCTGTGAGTGACCCTCTCGCAGGCCTTGCTGAGGTCCAGCAGCGCGGAAGCGGCCTCTAAGTTCAGCGCCTTCGCATGGTCCGCGTCGAAGCGCTGCAGCCGCACCGCGTCCTCGCATGACCTGCCCGTCCCGCCGAAGAAGTAGGGCCTGTCCTTGGCGGCCTCCCAGCTCTTCGCCTCGTCGTGCCTGATCTTGCCCAGTAGGCGAACCAGGGGCGCGATCAGGCCGATGGGCCGCCAGCCCCCATCCGTCTTGGCCAGGGAGAAAATGAAGACCTCGGCCACCTGCGACGGGAAGTCCGTCCGCAGCTCGATGAGGTGGAGAAGCAAACTCAGCGCGAGGATGCCGTGGTCGGAGAGCCAGCCGAAGTGGCGCGGCTTGAGACTGTCCGCACCCGTCGCAGTCGCGGCCTTGAACGACCTCGCCGCCGCTCGGATGGCGTCGGGCGCGGGCGGGCCTGGGGCTTCCCCCAGGGGCTCGTCGGGGAGCATCGCCTCCAGGTCGAAGCTCTCCTCCTGGTGCCGCCACACTTGCTGGTACTCCGCTTTCAGCGCCTCCAGGGTGCCTGCGATGCCTGCAGGCCGCGCGCTGGTCTCCACGTCCGCAGTCCAGCCCCTCGGGGCTCTGCAGAAGCCGTGGGCGGCCCCTGCGCCCCCGCGCACCGCCTCCTGAGCCCAGTTCTTCCAGGCCTTGGTGCGGCCCTTGGCGTCTCTCAAGTCGAACGCCTTGGCGGCCTGCCTGGCGTAGGCCTCCAAGGAGCTCAGCTGGCCGTAGGGCATTGCGCCCGTCGCTCGCAGCTGGCCGGCCAATCCCCTCTGCCTGCTTAGCTTCTGGGCCCCGTCCAGGCCGATGTCGCCAACCAAGTCCTGCGCGGCCAGCCTGCCGAGCTTGGCCTGCAGCCGTGCCAGCGCGGTCAGATCCCTCGCGATGCGGTGAGGCGCCCGCAGGCGGCGCCTGCTGGCCAGCGCCTCCCAAAGCAGCACCGCGATCCTGTGCCGGGCGCGCGCCTGCGCCGAGCCACGGGCGCGAGCCCCTCTGCAGCTGGCGCTGATGGTGCTCCCCTGAAAACGCGCTGGCTCGCCGCGCCCCTTGCGCCTCATCAAATCCTCATGCTCCATGTCGAAGAGGCCGCCCAGGTCCTCCCCGAGCAGCGCCGAAAAGCTGCCGTAGAGCTCGTCCAGCGTCCTAGGCCTGCCGCCTTCGGCCTGTGGGCCCGCACCAGCTCCCGACGACTGTGATTGCCTTGCCTCGTCTGACCCCGAATCGCCCTCGAGCTCCACTCCAGGGCCCAGGCTCTCGACCTCGGCCACGCTCTGCTCCCCCGCCACGGCTTGGCCGCGCGGCTCAGTCAGGCTTTTGACCTCGGCCGCGCTCTGCACCCCCGCCACGCCTTGGCCGCGCGGCTCGGTCACTCTCGCGGCCACCCCGCCAGTCAGCCGCTGGCCCGCGCCGCCAGCCTGTCTTACAGGCAGGAGCACGTTCTTCGTGGTGGCGTGCAGGGGCGTGTCCAGCACGTCGCCCTGCAGGGAGTGGACGACCTCCGCCCAGTCCTCGTCGTAGCCCGCGCGGACACCTCGAAGCGCCTCGGCCGAAGTCGACGGTGGCAGCAGCAAAGGCGGCCCCAGCGCGCTCGGCACTGTCCCAGGACCGTCGGAGCTCGCATCCACCGCAGGGCAATTTATCGCAGGCTGCCCCCAACTGCTTGTCCCAGGACATGGATCCTGGGGGACCGCTCCCAACGGGACTGTTCCCCCTGGATCGCGCCTCTCGCCGCCTCCCTGGTCGAAGGCCTCGTCCCCGACCGCAGCTCCTTCATCGGTAGCGCCGTCCGC